GCAAACCCGCACAACGCGCCCCCCCACCCGCCGGGGAGAACTCGACTTCCGGCTCAATCTTTAGCTTCGCACGGAAACCGCCGTGCGGTAGAAAGAGGAAGAGGCGATCGGCGCAGAGGACCATGGGAAGTGTAGTTATTTTTCCAGAGTGGAGGTGAGGGAATCCCCGAAGACAAGGACCTGGATCTATGGCTCGCGAGCAGTAGAAACCCAAGAGGGTCGGCCCAGCGGTACCAAGGCTGGATTGCAAAAGTCACTGGATTTTCGTAGCCCTAAAGGGGGTGGTCCTAGTGGACAGTCGGGTAATCTCATCCTGACGGCCGCTTTATAGGTTGTAACAGCGCCAAGACTTAAAGAAATTGTTGAAGTAATCCTTGCAAAAGTTTGGGAGTGTTATTCAGATGTTGCGAAAAAAGCAGTTTTCTCTTACAATAAACCACAACGGTAACAGTAGAGACAAAGTTCCTCCCCCCAAAATATGGATATCCCTATTTCATTAAGTCACAGCTCAGACTGCTTGATATAAGTGCAGCGTGGAACTAAGGATGAGGAAACCACGTCCGCATTTCAGCCACAGAAGCTACTTGGGTGACTCGAGGCCAGCTATCTTATCTAGCTAGCTATAGTTAATTATGAGGATAAATCGGGGGAAGAGGTCTAGTGTGCTCTTTCTTGCATTTGGGATATATATGTGAAAAGAATAGATCCATCGCTACAGATAAGATCCTTTGGAGCTCACCTCAATTCTGGGGTAAATAGAGGTTTTCTTAATAAAAATACATTGCTCACAAAAATAAAGGGAACACTTAAACAACACAATGTAACTCCAAGTCAATCACACTTCTGTGAAATCAAACTGTCCACTTAGGTAGCAACACTGATTGACAATCCATTTCACATGCTGTTGTGCAAATGGAGTAGACGAGGTGGAAAGCAGAGGCAGTTAGCAAGACATCCCCAATAAAGGAGTGGTTCTGCAGGTAGTGACCACAGACCACTTCTCAGTTCCTATGCTTTCTGGCTGATGGTTTGGTCACTTTTGAATGCTGGCAGTGCTTTCATTCTAGTGGTAGCATGAGATGGAGTCTACAACCCACACAAGTGGCTCAGGTAGTACAGCTCATCCAGGATGGCACATCAATGCGAGCTGTGGCAAGAAGATTTTCTGTGTCTGTCAGCATAGTATCCAGAGCATGAAGGTGCTACCAGGAGACAGGCCAGTACATCAGGAGATGAGGAGGCCGTAGGAGGGCAACAACCCAGCATCAGGACCGCTACCTCCACCTTTGTGCAAGGAGGGACAGGAGGAGCCCTGCCAGAGCCCTGCAAAATGACTTCCAGCAGGCCACAAATGTGCATGTGGCTGCGCAAACGGTCAGAAACAGACTCCATGAGGGTGGTATGAGGGCCCGACGTCCACAGGTGCGGGTTGTGCTTACAGCCCAACACCGTGCAGGACATTTGGCATTTGCCAATGATCACCAAGATTGGCAAATTCACCACTGGCACCCTGTGCTTTTCACAGATGAAAGCAGGTTCACACTGAACACATGTGACAGACGTGACAGGGTCTGGAGACACCATGGAGAACGTTCTGCTGTCTGCAACATCCTCTAGCATGACCATTTTGGCAGTGGGTCAGTAACGGTGTGCGGTGGCACTTCTTTTGGGGGCCACACAGCCCTCTATGTGCTTGCCAGAGGTAGCCTGACTGCCATTAGGTACCAAGATGAGATCCTCAGACCCCTTGTGAGACCATATGCTGGTGCAGTTGGTCCTGGGTTCTTCCTAATGCATGACAATGCTAGACCTCATGTGGCTGGAGTGTGTCAGCAGTTCTTGCAAGACGAAGGCATTGATGCTATGGACTGGCCCGCCCGTTCCCCAGACCTGAATCCAGTTGAGCACATCTGGGACATCATGTCTTGCTCCATTCACCAGTGCCACGTTGCACCAGACTGTCCAGAAGTTGGGGGATGCTTTAGTCCAGGTGCGGGAGATCCCTCAGTAGATCATCCGCCACCTCATCAGGAGCATGCCCAGGCATTGTAGGGAGGTCATACAGGAACATGGAGGCCACACACACTACTGAGCCTCATTTTGACTTGTTTTAAAGACATTACATCAAAATTGGATCAGCCTGTAGTGTGTTTTCCACTTTAATTTTGAGTGTAACTCCAAATCCAGACCTCCATGGGTTGCTAAATTTGATTTCCATTGATAATTTTTGTGTGATTTTGTTGTCAGCACATTCAACTATGTAATGAACAAAGTATTTAATAAGAATATTTTGTTCATTCAGATCTAGGATGTCTTATTTTTGTGTTCCTTTTATTTTTTTGAGCAGTGTATATCAGTAATTTACCCTGGTTTTCTCCCAAGATGTTCTTAATTTCCAATGCAGAATAGATTTCCTAATATCTTTTATAGGAGTCAACTCATGCTAATCAGAAATGGCTCTACTAAATTTTTAAGCCCAGTTAAAGCCAGATGCTATTTCTTAAGTGTTTCTCAACCGTGGCAAATTTAAGATATATAGATCTCAACTCCCAGAATTCCCCAGCTAGCAAGGAATTAACTATAGTATCTTTAAACATTAATCATTTTAATGGCAGAAGCAGTTAGTTAAAAAGCAAAATTGAGCATGCCAAGGACTATTCCAGTATCTGCCATGTACAGGTGTGGCAGAGAATACATTTAAAATGTTTTCATTGCTGTATACTTAAATCAATGTCCTGATCTTTAGCCAAAATCTAAAGACTTATACCAGTAGAGATGGTTGACTTTTCAAAGCTGTTCCCTTATTCCCAACTCACACGCTTTCTCAAACTTTACTACCTGGCAAGGGAGATGGGCAATTTTGTTTGAGGAACTCTGGGATAAAACCAGCTGAGGGGTGCAGAACGCTACTTTGGAGAATTTTTATGTTTCGTATGTTTCAAGCAATGTTAACAAAATGCCACAGTCATCATTAACTGCCATGAACATTAACAAAAATATTAAAAGGAGGAAGTCAAAAGCTGCATAAGAGTCTTTATTTATTGTAATAGTATAAATTTCTTGTAGACTGCAACATTAAGCCACAACAATGTAAAGACACATTTAGACAGCATTTAATAAAATGCATAAGCATGCACTGTAATTCTCTATATACACACACAACAATGCAAATTTATCTTCCAAACTGAAGACATTGATTGGATAAAAAAGTAAAGATTAAAAAAACAACTTAAAATGTCATGAATTTTTCAAAGTTGATTTCACAAAAGAAACTGAGAGGAAGCAACAGGTTTTAAACCTGAACTAAAAAAAGACTTTTTAATAAGCAGTACAAAGCATAGAGCTATAAAATATAACCCTGGAAATTATCACAATTCTTTTTGGGGGAGATACATTAATTTTCATACAAGCATAATGCTTGAGGGAGTTTTCAAATGCTTACAATTGTAAACATAAGTGCTACTTTTTAACTATAAAACTGTTGAGAACAATGGCTTTATATTATACTTAGTACTTAATTATGGAAGTTTTTCCCGAATATAAATTTTGTATACCAAAAAATAAGGTACTGTATGTTGTTATCTTTTGGACAATACACAAGTAAAACCTATCCAGCTGTTGGTTTAGTTTAGCTTTTTTAAACTAAATAGATTATGAAATCTGTATTATACTTCTAGTACCAAGTTACTTTTACTCTTCTAACAATGTATTTGCTTTTGCTACTGCATTGTGTAAATAGGATTGGCAAAAAAAAATAAACCTATCATGTCTGAGCAGCAGTATCAGGAAGATTCCTCCCTACATTTTTCTTGGGATTCCTTCTGCTTCCAGCAAATGAGAAATGCTGTCTTACACATATTGCAAGCAAGCTTTTCAAATAAGCAAAAGCTCTTTAATATTTTTCTTAACCTTTCAGAGAACTAGAAATGGAAAAATTCTATTCAATTTTATATGGAATGGCTCCCAAATCCAATTACTGTAATATGAAACAAAGAATTTCAGTTTCAGTAAATTTAAAATTAATGCTTTTACCAAAAAATGGTTTTAAAATGAAGAAAAATGATTAAAACAGTAGATTAGAAAACAGAAAAATATAAATTGAAAAATATTTAGGAATTGTTCAGAATTGCATCCCACTTCATTTGATAAATTTTTATAGACTTTCAGTTACAACTGAAGTCTTAAGGCCCAGATTAGGCAAGTGCTACACTATATATAACTTTATTAGCAGCGTTAATTTTCATAATCTTTCTCTATATAGCTCCATGAAAAATGATCCCCACAATGCTCCAGAGCAGGATTTCAATACTCTTCTTTAACCATACTTGGAAATAGTTGTCAAGGCATGGGGGAAAAAAGTTTTTTTTTTTTTAAAAAAAGTGTAAGTTTCCTATCAAGCCCTGCCTCTCCATGCACTGCAAACTACCTGAATTTTCAAAAAAGACAGAACAAAATGCAATTTTCCATATAGTACAATAGTATAGAGCTTCTATATGTGTCCTTATATATAGTAGTACTTCTCCCTTAGTACAACCATAATTATTTATGGAGCCATTGTATAGCACCACTGAATGTTTTACATGCAACTTCTGCCCAAATGATATGACAACAGTCCATTCCTCCCAAATTTTAGAGAGAGAGGCTGGAAAGTAATCAAGGGTAATAAAAAGTGAAACTAAACAAAAAACTTAGGATGCACTAGTTCCCTTCAGAGCTTACTTGAAACATTCTCCAAGACTTCACTGGTAACAAAGTGATACGAGGTGCCACCACAAGTGGTAGAATCTCATAGCACTTGTCTATTCAAAAACTTAAATTTAAGATGTCATTTTGACCATGAGCCATGGTGGCGCAGTGGTTAAAGTGCAGTACTGCAAGCTACTTCTGCTGACTGCCGGCTGCCTGCAATTTGGCAGTTCAAGTCCCACCAGGCATAAAGTTGACTCAGCCTTCCATCCTCCCAAAGGGGGTAAAACGAGGATCCCGATTGTTGGGGGCAATAGTAAGACCGCTTAGAGAGGGCTGTAAAGCACTGAAGCGGTATATAAGTTTAAGTGCTATTGCTATTTTGCCATTTTCTCCACAAGAAAGAAAAGTTTTACTTTGAAGATAACATATCAGAATCAGTTAGTGACATTCATGACACAACATTTTGCCTTATGCTCATTTAATAAAACAGCTAACAATATAAAATTAGACTCATTTGTTGTGACAGCCTTGTTCATTTTAATCAGCAACTTGGAAGGGATGTACTGATAACATTAAAATACAGTGTGATCAAAATGTACACGCTGAAAAAGAAGACTATGCAAAAGAAAAGCTCAGATAAAATACAAAAAGCCTCTTTTGCAGGCATTGAGAATATACAGAAAGGTTTATGGTCCACAGTTCACCACCACTGTCACTGCACAATCTCCATAATTTCAGCTGGCCTTCTGAATATTAACAAATAAAATTGGAACTATTAGATAGCTTCAGTATTTAAGACAAAGTGCAATTACATCCTAGGTTTAAAAACAATAGCCCACTCTACTGAGAGGGAGGCATGTTTATATCAAGATTTGAACAAAATATAAAATGTAGGAAGCTCAAGCTTTGCAATGCAATTATAAATCTTTTTTTAACATATAGAAATCTGGTACATATGAGTAAGACTGTACATAATTTTACATACATACTTACACATTTTATATTACACTGTACATGTACTGAACAAAGTTAGAAACTAACACATAAACATCATTCAAACAAATAAATATGGCCAGCATCCAAAGCACTATTTTGATTATGCTTAAGAGCTTGGTCAAGTCCTAAGATTTTTTTAAAAAAACTTTTCCTGTTATATGGCATATTCAAACTGAACTCTAAATGACATATCTAATTATTTTTGATAATAAAACCCACCTATGGACACATACTTAAAATTACATTTTTTTTACTTTTATTTAATTCATTTTCTTTTATTTAATTACAATTCATTTTATTTAATTAAATATTCAAGAAAACTGTATTATTTAATGGTTTGTCAGTTGCCCTATACTTATCCATAGCAAGAAGATTTTAGACTTATTCTCATGCATGTCCAAGTCCACTGAAATAAATTAAATTTCGTAAGTTCAATTTATCAACAAACTGTCCATTCAGGACATCTTTTAAATGCAGATCCTTAACATGGATATTTAAATTCCACTAATCTCAGATAACTTGCTTTCAAATAAGTGTGCTTGATAACAGTAATCATCTCAAATGACCACCTTCAGAATAATAGATATTACATTAAAATTTCCACTTACTGGTAATTTTTAAAGGTGCCATGACTTTGTGATAAAACAACCTTCAATAATTATTTTAAGCTCAAATTACAAAGGGTCAGGATTATATGACACCAACTAGGCAAATCTCTATTGCTTTCACTGATGCGCATGGCCCAAGGATAATTACCCACTGAGCAAAGTGTATTTGTCTGCCCAAGGAATACATAGCATTCATTCTACTCAAAGCAGCTCTGCAAATCTGCTATAGATGATTAGCAGAACTCTGAAGCAGATCTGGAAAATACAAATAGAACAGAAGCAGAGTAACTTCTATTATGTGATACTGGATAGAACCTAATGAATTCTAATATAGAGAAACAAAAGACTTTTTTATTTTCTGTCTGAATAGTAGTTTCTCAGTGCAGTCATGTTTCTTTCAACATGCACCCACATCAATAGTTTCTTGTAGTATACTGGTAGCTGCTACCATCTGAAAAACAAAAGCAAAACTCTTCCAAACATGCTGAGAGATTTTCGGTGTGCACATAAGCAACAGCAATGCTTACATTTTTAAAAAGAAAATTATATTCAGAAAACATATTCCAACAGGTTGCACAAGATGAAGGATGGCCTATATTGAATGTCCTTTTTCTAATGCCCTTCTGCGCAGCATTTCTTTCCTTGAAAATTGGAAGTATAAATTCTAGATGCTTCAAAAACTTTCTAGAGCTTTTATAAAAACCAAAAGTTTAAAAGGGTTAGAATAGTTCATTATACAAAACGTAAAACAATAAATAAATAAATAAATGCTTGGTGTCTTGGGCACAGTGAAAAGCATAAATATAAAAATAATTCCTACTATAGTTGTGAGATCTACTACACATCTCTGCTATGATAATGAACAACTGCAGAAACATTTTTATAATACACAAGTTAGGACCTAGCTTCTAGGTGAAATGGGAAGTAAATAAATAATGAATGCAAATAATTGAAATATTGCATCTCAATGTGATTAAAATAGTGCTATTTAAATATATTTTGGCTTGGTCCAAACTCTAGATCAGTAAAACAAATGATGTAAACTAGTTTTATTCAACTTAATACAAGAGAATGAAATTAATATCTGAATAATGGGTTGTAGAGGATCTAACCTGGTGCAGAATTCAGCAAATTACTTCTTTTTGCACTGAATTATTTTAAAAACTACTATTTTTATATTATTCAAATTGCATATATTTTATTAGATATGCATAATTAAATATTATACATAATCTAATAGTTTTAAAAATATATGTGTCACCATACCAATCAGGGTAGCATGTAAAATATATTAGTGTTATAAATTATCACAATAAAAATAGTGTACATAATTTGTCCTGCAGATTTCATAAAAATCGCGCTAAAATATAATTTCAGTTATTTAATATTTCCTCATCCAATGTTTTTAACTTCATATATTTGGCCTGTAATTAGCTTTAAGTTTTATGATCCAGGACAGACTCAATTCTATTTCCAACTGATCTTGTTACTTTAAATATTTAGTATTACATATATTATACAACACTTTCCAGTACTTCCCAATGCATCTATAGTCATAGTCCCACTGAAAGTATTTCCAATGCAAATTATATTAAGCTCCTGTTTAAGAAAAATCAGGGAGTATGCTAATTCAGCTTCTGTGTAACAGTGTTTTATGAATTAAGTTTAAGTTAATGAAAGAATAGTAAATATTAAAAAATTGGGTATATTTAGGAATTTACTGAATGAATTATAATTATGCAGTATAAACACATACTGGAAGTAAGCACCACTGAGTTCAGTGACATTTTCTGAGGAAAAAGATCTGTAAGACTATATTACTTATGTAATATAAGTAATGTCATCTATTAAATTGGACTAACCTTTCTTATTCTTCATTGGTACCTGCATCTATTAACATCTTTAAAATACTCACTATAAAATGCCTCTACTAAAATGCTCACTGAAACCACCATATACTTAACAATGAGTATAAATGACATACTTGTTGAAATATGTTTTCATATAAAAGTCAATTTGAAAAAAGTATGTATGTATGAAATAAAAATTACAACTATGATTTGAAATACAGAAGTTTTGTACAATATACTATGAAATCTAAAAGCAGTACTGGATATGAGTAGAATTGGCCAGCCTTAATATTTTGACAGATTGTACATGGCATTTTTAGTACTATGACTCCAGGTGATTTATCAGATTCTGAATAATTCCAGAACATATAAAATATTGGGAAAACAGATACAGCATAATATAAATAAACACATGACTATTCTTTTTTCTACACTATTGGGTATCATTTCTATAGAAATTATGGCATATGTTTCAGAATGTAAGTTGGATTGCAGGCTGAGAAAATCTGAAAAATCTGAATTCTTAGGATACGACTTTATAGTTCCATGGAATACTACTGCAGGGACTATAAGAAACTTCCCCGCTGTGATCATACTCTGATGACCAGGCTAGGCAGAACCCAGGATCTATTGTAGCCGAACCATCTGCCACATAGCCAAACACATACCAAAGACCCAGAAGTTAGGCTATATGTATTCTCTTTCACTGCTATTACAGTTCCTTCTTGCTTTCATCCCACCTTTCTAAGATTGTTTTGGCAGATCATTAGGAATGTTGAACCACTTTGTTACTGGAGTGCTCCAAACTGATTGTAGGACTCCTTTGAGAAGCAACATCTCAATAATCAATAGATTCCTCACTAATTTAGTGATATCAGAACTGTGCCAAAGTCAGTCTTCCCAGAAGGAATGAATCATTCTTAGAAGGAATGAGTATGAAATTTGTTTTTTTAAATTGTTCTGTCTATAAAAGGCATGTGGTTCTTATTTAAAGTGATGGATGTGTCCCACTTTTTTTTTTAAACTATTGGCAAACATCTTAAAATTCTCAGAAGTGCCTCACTATAAGTAGTGTGTTGTTTTTCAATGTAAATAACTTCTATAGAGTCTATCAAGTTTACAGTTGAGCCATAAACATTATGCTTTTCCTATGCTATAAACATTTCTATTCATTTAGCAAAATTTAATTCAAACATCATTAAAAGTATCATGTTATTAATAAACAAATGTAATTAAAAATTTTGTAGCATAAATGATTGATTGTCTGCCATGGCTGTAAGTTTTCATAGAAATTATTAGTATACATCTGTAATTAAAATGCTATTCATTTATCCTATTCAAGGAAGCAGGATTATGAGAGTAATATCTTACTTTCATAAAACATTCTTTGGAAGTGCTGACCATTCCTACATCTTGCTAATTTTAAATTATCTGCATGTATGTGAGTGAGCACACAATATAGACTGAATTCAAAGCACATTTATCTTGTAAACATTTTTTTCTCTCCAACAAACTAGCATGCTATGCCTCATGCTGTCCTGGAGTGGCATTTCATTTTGGAAAGGGGGGGAAAGAACAAGGGCTGTGTTGGGGGAGGGGGCAATCCTTTTGCAGAAGACATCTTGGAGCCTTTTGGATCCAAGCTAAAGTTCGGAATATATATTTTTTAATGTGTATTCTGTCATAAGAGAAGCTATAGTGTACTCATAGATAATACTTAAATAAAAAGACATATTAAAGATATATTTATCAATTCACTGTATCATTTCAGAAAAACAAATTCAAATATTTGTTCTGGCAGAAATAGGTCATAGAAAAAAGTTCTGTAGGGTTTTTTAAACCTTGTTTTTGAATAAAAGAATTTTTAACAAGAAAACGAAAAGCGTTGAAAACATTTGTACACCTTATCCCAAGGAATCAGTAAATTAGCATTCAGGTCCATCAGGATGAGCTAATTCCTTCTAAGAAGACGATCCTGTTATTTGACCATTGTACTCTGCTGTTTCCATCTTCAGGATGTAGGGGATGATGCTGTCAATTGGAACATTTCCAATAAGACCAGTAAAAAAGAGTTCTTCTGTAATGCTGGAACTCATCAGTCTAAGAGCTGGCAGGCGAACTAGAACTCGAGCTAGCCTGAAATAAGAAAGTCAGTGGTACATGTAAAAATGGAACTCAATTTGCCAGTACCGCTGTGATGCTTAAGCCTTTCATTTGATTTCTATATTTTGGCTATTGAATTCATGAAAAATTATCATCCACTATGGCTAGAAGCTAAAGTGTTACAAAACTACAAACTATCTCATCCTTTTAACCTGGAGTATGACTTCATGAAGAGTTTGGGAAAGAATATTCTCATTACAGGACTTTTATGTCTCAGAATCAGTCAAAATTCTGAATCATATAGAAAGCCTCAGGAGGGCTCAGATTCAATGTGTTTCTCAAAGGTATACCACTTGAACCAAATCTGATAAACACACTAAGCTGCAAGGCACAAGGTCCTCAATATCTATTTTGATTGGTTGCACAATAAAGGGCTCCTCCAAACTTTCTTTTTACACGGTCCCTTAGAGGAGGAGGCTTCCAACTATCACACTTGAATGTTTATTTATTAAATATTTTATGTGCTAGCAAAAAACTGATTCAGTCTTGTATACTACAAATAAAATAAAACTATAGTAAAATCTAATCCAAGCATAAAATCAATAAAACAAGTAATATTAATACTTGTTACTAATAAAGATACATATAGTGTTATTAATAGTATAATAAAATAATAGTCATAATTATTATGCCAACCCTAGTCTATATGGCAACTAATTCAAAATACTGTTTTATGCAGATTCTAGAAGATTGCTAGAATATAATAAAACTCTCATTGTGTTCATCTGTTTATAACTTTGAGTTAGTCCAAATGGTATATTGTACTGTCACAATTTCTGAATCAAGGTATCTAAAATCTACTAACTTAAATAATGCATAAAAAACATCCAGGACTCATTATTCTTGTGGAATTGAAATTTTTTACCATGTTCAGACCCCTGTGGCCATTGCAGTATCCTCCAGTCATGAGGTTGTATTTCCATTACTTTTTACCATGGGTCGTTCTATTTAACTGTTTAGGTAAGTAACTTTTTTTTCTTTTAATGACCCTGTAATCCCTTGCATCATGGTGGAGTTGAGGTGAATGAAAGGAGCTGAAAGATTACTGGCCAGATGGCCTTCCTGATGCCTACACGGAATTTGCAGCAGATACTTTCTCTTTGTGTCCAGAGAAATATCTGCCGCTAACTAGATTGAACTCACAGCCTCTTCTAGGCCACCACACCACTCCTGTTTAGGTAAGTAAACATTGATTTATTGCTGAAATTCATTTGCCACTGCAATTATTTTTCTAATTCTGTTATATTATGGCAAGGTTTTTCCAAAACAGTTTGCCATTGCCTTCTTCTTGGGGCTAAGAGAAAGTGGCCGAAGGTCACCCAGCTGGCTTTGTGCCTAGAGCAGAACTAGTACTCAATCTCCCAGTTTTTAGTTTGATGCCTTAACCACTGCACCAGGACTGTCCGGCATTGGGGTAAAAAAAAAGGCTCACCCTGAAATTTAATGTACATTCTGGTCACATCAGACCGCACTACCTTATTCTTAAAGGATGACTTAATGCATCGTAGGACCCTCTCTTCAACACTAAAAGGAAAAATATATTAAGTTGATTAACTATGTACAAAAAGTCCTCAACTTGTGACCACAATTGGACCAGAATTTCCATCATAGGTTGTTGTGGTGGTAAGTTGAGATGGATATGATTTCACAACAATTTTGATGATAGTTAAGTAAATTACTGTGGTTAAATAAATCCAGATTCCCCAATGTGGGTATTTTGCTAGAAATTGAAAAAAAAAGGTAGTAAATTATGATCAGAGGACCACAGTATACTGCAGCTGGTCATAAATATAAGCCAATTATCATGCTCCTGAATAGTGATCATATAACTGCAGGGCTGTTGCAACAGTTGTAAGTGCAAGTGCAGATTGTAAAACATTTTTTCTAAGGCTATCATAACTAAACTGTCATTAAAAGGATGGTCATAAACTGAAAACTATTTTTACCTTTTCTACTATGAAGGAAAGCAAGGCTCAAGTGGTAGTATCTGTAAATGTAACATCCTGAAGTTAAACTGACAGACACTCAAGTATGTTCTTTCTTTCTTTCTTTCTTTCTTTCTTTCTTTCTTTCTTTCTTTCTTTCTTTCTTTCTTTCTT